GTCCTTCAATAAAGCAGAATCACTAACAAGAGAAAAAGAAGAAATAAATACTATCACTTCAATATTTTTATTTTTCCCTGAGACAATTCATCACTTCTTATCTTTGGCGTGAAGATCATCAAAGAACTTCTTTGGGTTGCTCTCAAAAGCATCCCTCGAAATGGGTTGATCACCGCCGGAGCCAGGTGCAACCATTGTTTTACCAACATCGGAAACACCACCGGAACCACCGCTCGTACCGGAATTCTTGGCTGCATCAGCTTTGGTGTTCTTGGCATCCATGGTTTGATTTTGGATTGAAAACTATTTGACGATGAAGATTAGGTTATTGTGTTAATAGTGAAGAAGACTAATAGATGAGGGATTGTGTATTTATACACGAAGTTTATCACATTTGTAACAACAGAAGATAATGGTCAAACTGGCGTGGAATGCAATTACCAATATGATATCTATTTCCATGTAAAAATTGATGATGATTTTATCGTAAACTTGCGGTGATTAATAGTCATAGTATTAAATACTGTAGACTACAATTAAATAAAAGGTGGTTTGACATTTGATTAAATGAAAGTTAACATCTACTGATCACCACAACATATCTACTGATCACCACAACATGATTTAAAACAAAAGGCCTAATACAACAGAATCGGCCTAGGGCTTGAAGCCCAACTAAATCATCTTTGTCCAATCATCGCTGCACGCTATTTGATGCATATTATATAAACACGGTTCGGTTTTGTTATCAACGTGAAATAAAATTTAGGGAGAATTAGCTATCTAACAATATTGGATATATTAATTAAGAATATAGCCATGCTTTATTCATAATAGAACAACTAACCAAGTCAATTTGTTTTGAACATTTTTAACCCCACTTTGACCTGCACAAGTTGTGAAGAAGGAGAGATAGACTTTCATTTTATGTCACATTGTGAAGGGATAATTCACTGCAACGAGTTCCGTTGCGTAATTTTCCGGAATTGCCATAGTTAGCTAATAATTGTAAGATTATGAATCTCCGTCGAGAGTTATATTATTGACACAAGCCTTATATAGACATTGGAGGAGTGCTCTCCAAGTAATTTATTTACATATATGTTATTATCATCAATAAAAAAATATTCTATATTCCTATATTCTAACAC